CTAAAAATTAACCACTCTTTAACCACAAAATTAAAATTAATCACAATACTCAAAAAAAGTAAAATAAAAATAATTTCAGCTAGCTAAAGTTTTATCTACAACTACAAATCGCTTTTAAAAGTCTAAAAATGAGTTTTTTTCTTCAAACTTTATCCAACCTCAATCATTATCCATCATTTTTTTTCCTCTTTGACTAAGAAAACTCTTTTACTGAAAATAAAGGGGTCGGAGGGAAAGGAGAGATTTTTTTTTGCACTGCCAAGAGGTCGGTTGTAAAATGTCGAACTTTTCTCTGTTATTTCTCTGACCTTCATCACACTAAATACTTTTTCACTAAGCCCATTAGCCAGCCTTTTCCAGTGAAAATATGCAATAGCATTTTGGAATTGTAAATCTAAATTCGAAAACGATTTCCAGCCTTTTAAATCCTTGAAAATTGTCAATTTTTCGTTAAATTCCATTTTTTCCAATAATAAATGGTTTTCCTTAAGCAAAACAGTAAATTTCGTTATCAAAATCAATCTAACTTGTCAGTTTTTCAATTTTCTTAAGACTTTTTTAGATTTTCTTAAGTTCTTACCGTAAATAGTACCCCACCGCTCTCGTACAGTCGCGTAGTTGCAAAAGTTCTTTAGTATTTCTTTTTTTTCAAAGCACCCATGCTTTCAGAAAATGTGTCTTTGGTATCAAAAAATAGCCCTGAATTTCAGCTATTTTTTGATATCTAAACGCGCATTGTAGCATAAACCAGTGTCGAGAAAAACGCGTCCAAAGCTAGACTACGCAATACTCCGTACCGTCATTGGGTGGGGTGGGGTACTATTATAGACTGGATAATTGTCGAAAAGCCTCGGACAAACAGACGGACAGAAGAACGGTGTTATATATGTAAATACTATAATAGTACCCCACCGCTCTCGTACAGTCGCGTAGTCGCAAAAGTTTTTTAGTATTTCATTTTTTTTCAAAGCGCCCGTGCTTTCAAAAAATGCGTCTTTGGTATCAAAGAATAGCTGAAATTCAGGGCTATTTTTTGATACCTAAACGCGCATTGTAGCATAAACCAGTGTCGAGAAAAACGCGTTTTTTCGGGATGTTTGCGTAGTCTAACACATCCCGCCTTGCTGCCACGCACACAGGAAATGGCCCTGAATCAGCATTTTTGTATATGTTGTAGCATTGTAGCATAAACCAGTGTCGAGAAAAACGCGTCCAAAGCTAGACTACGCAACACTCCGCACCGTCATTATCGGGGGTGGGGTACTATTACAGTATTTACGGTAAGTTTTCATAAACCTTTTAAGGCATTTTACATGTTTCATGAATGATAATTTATCAATTTCTATATCAAAAACGATTTTCGATTGATTGAAATCGAAAATTCCCATCGTTTTATCATATTTTTTTTTTGTTTTCTTTTTCGTTTACTGAAATTCCTTTCAATTTTAACTCCCCGCTGTGATATTCGCGTCTTAAATCCGGCTTTTTCCTCAGCTCATCCTGTCAAAAGGTGAAATTTTATGAAAATCACTCTCATTCTTTGAAGATAATCATTTTTTTTTCATGTTTCAAAAGCTCTTTCGTTATTTGATGCTCTAAAAATTTTCTTTTTCTTCTACCTTTCAAAAAAAAACCGAACGATTCACCGTTTCCCGGAATAAATCACTGATATCACTGATAAACTTGTGTTTTTTTTTGTACGATTCGTCAGAAAACGGGCATTCAATCCAAAAATATATATAGAAAGCCTAAAATCTAAAAATTTTGCCCATGTGGCGAATTGCCACTGCTCTGCAGTTAGTCAAAATTCAATATACAAGTTAAAATTCAAAGTTGATGGATAAACTACCGTAATCAATCACTAGACGATATACAATTGTTCGTTTTTTCGTAGCTTGTGTATTTAAAAACCCATTATTTAAGCTTTGTTTTGAGTCAGTTGTGGACTCCTTTTTCTATTCTGGGAGTGGGACAAATGCTACCTTTTTTCTGCGCACCCGGACCTTTGCGCACCTTTTTTTCCGCACCTTGCCCATTAGTGCACCTTTTTTCGCGTTTTAAAAAAGCTCTAAAAAGCTAATATTAACCAATTTCTATTCCACAAGTTGTTTTTCTAGGTAATTTGAGGGTGTAGAATCGAAATTTTGACATAACAGAGCGTGTGGAACCAATTTGAAAGACAAAACGGCTAGGTCAAATTACAGAAAATTGTCGATGTCCGTATAGCTCTGTCCGTTTGTTTCCACAAGCTCTGATATGTCAAAATTTGAATTCGACACCCTCAAATTACCTAGAAAAACAACTTTTGGAATAGAAATTGGTTAATATTAGCTTTTTAGAGCTTTTTTAAACCGCGAAAAAAGGTGCGCTAATGGGCAAGGTGCGGAAAAAAAGGTGCGCAAATGTCCGGGTGCGCAAAAAAAAGGTCGCATTTGTCCCACTCCTTCTATTCATCCTTTTTTTCACACGCAAGTGTTGAAGCGATTGTGCTAGTGCCAGGTTGCTCCAGTTTGAGCGAAGTTTGCCCTAATAAGGGAAAGTTTTGATAAATTGTGCGTTTTCGAGAAATCTACCATTGAACCACACCGAGACGCGGTCTCACAAGAAATTATAAAGATCAAAGTATAAATATATATTTCTTACAGCCTATTCGATTCACTTATCATTAGCCCATTCGAAATTTCTGCAGCGAATAATCGCTGCAGCAAAAACTCAGGAACGGACCGCTGCAGCGATTATTCGCTGCAGCGCTAATTGAGCTATTTTCATTCAATTAATTGCTTTTTTTTTGGCTGTTTTTCAGCATTACATGTATATTCCAATTGTAGCAGATCTACAAATTACGTGGGAAAAAAAGATGTTTCATATTTACCCGGAATCAATGCAGTCTCTGGTTTTGCATTGAAATGTTCCATAATAGCTCTAATCTTATAAAGCCGATCTCCTGCAGGATCCAGTTCATTATCACAAAAACGCAGGTTGCGAAGAATAGATTCAAATTTTGCTCTTGACATAATGTGGGACATGTGGGAAAATCCTCCTAATCCCGGCCTGCTACTCCAGTAGTCACGAATCCTCGGTAATTTGACGATTCCCATTTGAAGATATTTGAAGATACAGAGCCAGGAAGAGCTTGAAAGATTTTGCATCGAAATCTTGCCAGTTTGTTTTCCTTTTTCCATGTTTATTAGATTCGCCTACTAAAATATTGTCGTCGATAAAATAAGAACAATAATCGATAGGATCTTGAAAAGTACTGAAGTCAAATCCAAATGGTTCTTCATCAAAAATAAATGGTGTAGGAGACTCTCTTACATCTTTCCAACCATAAATAAACTGCTTCGGAGTCAAAAATGTCAAAAAAAGGGCTTGGTCCGTAGACGAAAAAAGGAAAAAACGCTGCGGTTTCGAATGGGTTAGATTTCCATAATCTTGAGTGAATCTATTAAAATTTTAATGATTTTAAAGCGAAAAGTCATTCTACTTTTATCATTTGCTTTCAAAATTCATTATAAATCTCCGCTCTTGAAATATTTTTCTTTTCGATTACACTGGCTGATTCATTCACATATTTCCCTCTTTCTTTTTCTCGCTTTCATTGCTTTCATTTCGTTTCTCAGGCTCTGAAATGACCTCTTTTTCATCAAAAATCGCAAAATTTTTATTAAAACACACGTTCGATAGATTTTCTTTTGAGGAAAACACCGGAAATTCGTTTTTTTAAAATTTTTAAAAATCTTTAACCATTTTTGTTGCTTCGGAATTGAGTATTTGATTCTGCTTCTTTTCAACAAAACAATTTGTTTCAATAATTAATTAATTAGCCAAGAAGAAGTTTGATTCAATTACTCAATTCCACATTTATTGACTTTCTTAGGTAATTGAACCGAGTGGGTGACTGGCGGCGCGCGTTTAAGCCAAATTTTACCACCAATCATCCCCTCCTGGGTCTAATTTGTGCTTAAAATTGTAAACGCACGTTTCCTGGTGCACTGAAATGCTGATTTCTCCTGTTAAAAGCAAAACAGTACACCAAAAATTTTGCGTTTCTATTTTCAAGCACAAGCACACGCTAAACGTGTCATGATCATCGATTTTCCTCAATTTTTCCCTGGTGATCAATTTGTTACACAGTGATTAAACCGCGAATTCCCCTTTTTTTTCCTTGTCTCTTTGCCCATTTTATTCCCGCCTAGGGCTATTCTTTTCTTTCCCCTCGAGAATTTATCTTTTTACGATTTACCCTAAAGTCTCGAGTATAAGTTCTACCTTAATTTACATTTAAAGGGCTCTGATGGAAGCTCGAAGCGGTCAAATTTGCGAGGAAATTTGGAACGAACGCGGCTGCGATCGAATTTGAAGTCGCCGAACAGATGATTAACCGCTGGAACAAGCTGGCCGGCACTGTGGTTCACCAAAATATCGGCTTTCCGAGGATTGAAGGCAAATGGCCGGATGTGGGAAAGTCTGAAGGCATGGGTTCTGGAGGCGATCACACGAGCTGTAATGGCTGTAGCAAGTTATGCTGCAGCGGGGTTCGACACACCGCACCGGAGACAGCCGTCAATTTGCATGCGAAACCAACCAGAACTTATACTCGCGACTTTAGGGTATCAACAAGTGCCTGTTAGCCGACTAGACTTTGCCTCGGAAATTTTGATCATTTTTATGTCTTTTATTTGATTCTCGCTTTTGAACAAGCTTCATTTTTTATCTTTCATTTAATTCCCAGCCTTAATACCTGTAAAATTTGACTTTGTGTTCGTTAAAATCGCAATTTTTCCAGAATCAATCAACGTTTTTTCTTCCAATTCTGGCTTTTCTTTGTGGAAATTCTATTCTTTAGTCTATTTTTAGAACAAAAATTTCTATTTAAGCTTACCTTGAGATATTTTTGAGTTTGCTCTTCTCTTTTTCTCCTTATGACTTTGCTTTTCTAACATTCCAATTTTAGCTTATGAGCCGGTGATCAAAACAACTCAACTCAAACACTTTTCGAAATGGTCAAAAAAGAAGAGGATGGTGAAGGGACGGGTGAAGAAGTGAGACCATTGGAGAGATTGTTGCGAGTCGCCGATTTGTTGAGGTTTGTGTGAATTTTAATTTAATAAAAAGAAAGAGAAAGCTTTTTGAAATGCTAAAGTAGAACTTAAAAGGGTACTCCGTGGTTATCAAACTTTTAAGAAACGCCCCGCCCCTTTTCCCATTACCAATCTAACTTTGAGCTCAAATTTCTTGGTGTTGCGCTGTTCAATTTCAATATTCTTGATATCATTAGATGCGCCAAGTCTTTCTCTGTCGATTGGTGCAAAAACTATTTAAATTAAACAGCCCAACACCCAGAAATTTGAGCTTAAAGTTAGATTGACAATGGCAAAGAGATCGTGGCGCGTATCAAATGTCCCACAACCTACTTTGGTCTCCAAAGTGACTTTCTAATGACTTTTGTATATCAATCGACGCGTTTCACTCTCCTCTACATGAATTTCATAAAGGAAAATCTTGAAAACACTAAAAAACCGAAAAAAAACGATGACAAACTGTCACAAAAAATGAGCTTTGGAGTCTAAAATGTCTAAAATGAACTCAAAAAGCACAACCAAAAGAAGCCAGAATGAAAATAAAAGATTCATTCAACCTGGTTGGATTTTGCCGACTGTTAATGGGGTAAAGGGGAAAGGGATTGAAGTGAAATCTCACAGTTGGAGTCCTTCATTCTCTATTTCTCCTCTCAATCCCCCATTGACCTTTTCAAAGTTGACTCGTTGACTAGACCTAAACCCTTCAAAATGCAAATTTGCACCCAATTTTCGCCTTTTTTCTTTTCATTGCTGGATTTGAGGATTTAAATGAGTCTTTTTGGGAGATTTTTATACTACAGCTGGCTTTTAAAATTAGTTTAAAAGACTTAGGCATAATTTATGATCGATATGATTTAAGATTTAAGCTTTTTAAATGATTTAAATGATTTTAGAGATTTATTTAGATCTTTTTGGGAAATTTTTATACTATAGCTGGCTTTTAAAATTAGTTTAAAAGACTTAGGAATGATTTAGGATCGATATGATTTAAGATTTAAGCTTTTTAAATGATTTAAATGATTTTAGAGATTTATTTAGATCTTTTAGGAAATTTTTTATAATATAGCTGGCTTTAGAATGATTTTAAATGATTTAAGAACAAATTTTTCTAGCTGAATCTTGTAAATCTGATCTTGAATTCAAAAATTGCGTGAACTTTTTCATTTTGACTCTTTTCAGATACGAGGACAAGTTCCGAAACGTGCTCAAGCTCCGTCACGCCGGTGATCTGCAATATGTTGATGAAGTGGATTTGAGTGGAATCGGTTGGTGTTTAAATATTGAATAAAATATTAGTAAACTTATCTAGATAAGGGAAATATCTAGATAATTTAATTTGTATATATCAGGAATGAGCCGCCCCGAGCAGAAACGCCTCCGCCAAGAGTACCAGAAAATGTTCCCGAAAATTGGGGTTTTTGGGAAATTGAAAAAAGTGAGTTAAATATCTAAATATATCTAAATATATCTAGATATATTTAGATACTTATTATCTCATTTCCAAAGTTTCAGGCTTTCACCAAAAACGAGAACGGCACCGGGGCATCGAATTTTCGAGATGACGCGAAAAACGAGCAACATGTGATTCCATTGGAAAAGGTTTAATTTGCATTTAGAATTATATGCAATGTAAAGACTAAGTATTGTAAGATTGAGATATTAAAAATATATCTAAAAATATCTAAAATTTAGATAACACTTACAAAAGAGCTCGGGAAAGGTGAGTTCGGTGCTGTCTGGCAAGCCTCGTGGAATAATGGGCCGGCGGAAAAGGACACGGTACAGGTACAGAATTCTTTAAACACTCTTTTTTGGGTACTGTAAGATATGCTAATTTCTCTATATATGCTAATATTTGTGTTCAGGTGGCTGTCAAAGTGATCTCGACGGGGAAATTGGTCAACTGTACGACGAGCTTTCTCTCGGAGGCTGCTATTATGACAAGGTCGGGCTTGTTTTTTAATTAATTAATCAATTATTATTTGATATAATTAATTATTAAGTTAACTATTCAATTACCGTAGCTATTAGAGATATCATAGAACCCATTTACGTCCAGTATAGCGCATATAAGTGCTACTTTTTGAGCCAGGTACAAGATATCGGTACTGATGAAAATTTGAACTGATTGATTTCACCAACCATAGGAAAATGCCAAGAATGTTATGTATTGATTGATTAAGGAATGAAATCTATGTTCATAGCTCTAAAGAATGTTTTGAATCCGGAATTTTTCAACCTAGGATCTGTCACAACCTAGGTCGATTGCCGATTGAAAAGTTTGTGAAAAATAGAAAGACTATCCGCTTATCTGTAATTGTTTGCAGAAAAGAACCTGTAAGAGGTCTTTGAAAGCTTTAAAACACTTAAATTTTCATAAAAATTTTCAGTTTTTTCTGTTTCAGGCAAAAAAGGCAAAAAAGTTTGGCTAGGAACGGGATTGAACCCGCGAATAAATTTGGCTATTTTCGTAGACTAGCGCACTATCCCCTAGGCTACCGCCGCTCTCCCTTCTTTCCCGCTTGGCGCTCTCTTATAGGCGGCAATTTGCCGAAAATTAGCTGAAACTTTGACACGTTTTTCTCAAAAACTAGCCTTCACAAGGAAAAAATAAAAAGATAAAGTTTCTTAGAATTCGGGGCGTTTTGTAGCTAGGTTCGATTTCGAAAATCGATGGTAAGTTGAAACAGTTCTCTAGTAAGCCCTAAATATAGGGAACAACTCTAATATATGGAAAAAAATCAATAATCTAACCGGCGGGGTCGAAGCCTTGATCTCCCGACTAAGATACAGGGCTCATAGCCAGTTGGCCTCAAAGCTTGACATGGGAAATTTATCTTTTGACTCTTTGGCATCTTTACAGAATGCGCCACGAGAACGTCGTTCAACTCTACGGTGTTGTGCTGGACACAAAACAAGTGATGCTCGTGTCAGAGTTGGCCACTTGTGGATCATTGCTTGAATGTCTTCACAAACCGGCTCTCCGTGACTCTTTTCCAGTCGATGTGTTGTGCGATTACGCATGTAAGAAGTTAGAAATAATCTAAAAATTCGAAATTACAGCTAATATTTTTCACTTTAGTCCAAATCGCGAGCGGAATGGCCTACCTGGAGTCGCAACGGCTTATTCACAGAGATCTAGCCGCCCGGAATGTTCTCGTTTTTGGCCCAAAGAAGGTTCGAATTTTAAATGCAAATTTTATTTCTCGATAGATTTTAAGCAATAAAATATCTAAGAAATTATTGTAAGTCAATTTTCAGGTGAAAATCTCAGATTTCGGACTCTCACGGTCTCTCGGAGTCGGAGAGGATTACTATCGGAGTGAATTCTCGCCGACTTTAAAGTTGCCGATCGCTTGGTAAAGATTTATAATGATTTTTTTAAACAATTAAAAGAAATATATCTAGATATTTTGCTATTTACTATCGCATAAATAGGGATTTTCCAACCGAATCCTAGGGCCTGGGCTGGGCAAGGCACTGTTAAACTAGAAGGTGTTCAATATTTATGGAAACCAATCGATCACTAGGTTTAAAGCTCGTTTTGTTCAAACTAATATTAAAAAAGAAACAAAACATATCAAACACATATAGTTTAAAGAGTTGAAGTCACTTTTTTTTCAAAATTATTGCCTTTCCAAAACAATAATTTCTCTCACAATCGCCTAGAAAAGCCGCCTCATTCAGTCGGGTTTTCGGCCCACGTAGTATAGTGGTTAGTACTCCACGTTGTGGCCGTGGCGACGCTGGTTCGATTCCAGCCGTGGGCAATTCCTTTTGCAATTTTTGATTTTTTGATGAAAGATTGATTGAAACAAAGATTTTAAAGGATTTCAATCAGTTTTAGACTTAAAGATCAACCTTTTCTATCATTTATTTAAGATTTTTAAAGCCTAAAGGCTCAGGTTGCTTAGAAACTAGAGAACGAGAAAAACGCTCATTGTGGCACGGAGATCGAAAAAATTGAGTTTGTCATTTTCAAGTTTGTCAAGTTTTTTTGAAAAAATCAAAAAGAGAAATATAATTCTAACATTTTTTTAATGTAATAAATTTGAAAACTGATAAATAGTGAAGAATTTAAATAATGTTTTTAATTTAAATATCATTAAACAAGAATTACTAGGTCTGACTAGAGAATAACTAGGAGTAATTTAGGTGATCGTGTTCCAATGAATCGGTTTTACGCATAACAAATTGAGTAAACAGTAAAAGGAAATGAGCATTTCATATGTCAATTCTGTAATTCAGTGCTTTCTTAATTGTTTTTCTTTCCATAAACCGATTTTGGAAGCGCTAAAACATCTAAAACTCCTAAAACTTCGAACTCAAAAGTTTCCATAAATATTGAAAACTCTTTAGGATCAGAATGAGCTATTTTGAACCTTTTAAACAAATCGGTTCATAAAAAGCTTCTTTAAGAAATAGAATTTCTACAATAATTGGCTTCCAAGCCTTCAAAGAGTTGCGTTTGTTCAGCTTCTTTAGCCGTGGCTTAAAAGCCCTTAAAACTTTTTGAAGTTTTTGTAATTCGATCTTAAATATTTAGAGCTTTCATAAAATTTAAATTTACAATTTCTCTTTGACAGGTGTGCTCCTGAATGTATCAATTTCCTCAAGTTCACCTCAGCGTCCGACGTTTGGTCGTACGGAGTAACGATTTGGGAGATGTTCACATACGGAAAAATGCCATGGCAAGGACTCAATGGAGCTGAGGTTGGGAATAAATGTTTAATCTATTTGATAAGCTATTTGATAAACTATTTGATAAACAATTAGCTAAACAATAAGCTAAACAATAAGCTAAACAATAAGCTAAACAATAGCTAAACAATAAGCTAAACAAGCTAAATAAAAATGTAAGTAAAACATTTGTACTGATACGTTGCAAGCAATTGTTAGCTCAAAAAGTGACGAAGCACAGAATTTAGCTGGAAAAGCCTGAGTGGCTTATGATTTCCTGAGACGGAAAAACCTATTCTAACATAAATTTCACAACTTTCAAAGCTTATTTTAGATTCTAAACGCAGTGGATCGTCAGCAGAAACATTTGGACCGTCCTTCCTGTTGTCCCGATGATATGTGGGATTTGATGAAAGATTGTTGGCATCACACCCCGGAAAGAAGGCTCACTTTTAAGCAAATTGGTTTGTTACTTAAAAATTTCTTGGAAAATTAGGAAAACTTACTTTCAAAAGTTTTAAACAATCTAGAAAGGCCTATTCATAGGCCGTCCACTAAAGAAAACTGATTCAATAATTAAAAATGTGTCATGGATTCGCATAGATACAACATCATAGAAGGTTCAGTTTACAGTTACAGTAACTAGTAAGCTTGATGGATCATTCATTCTGATTCAACCTTACTAGTTACTGTAACTGTAAATTGAAACTACTATGTTGTATCTATGCGAATCCATGACACATTTTTAATTATTAAATCAGTTTTCTTTAGTGGACGGTTTCCCGGATCGAATCCCGCAAATGGTGAAAGCGATTCGTGATTGTCGAGATCAAGCCGATGATCATTTGCAGTTCAAAAAAGACGATTTGATCATCGTTTTGTGTAGAAGGTGAGTGAATTCACAATAGTATCAATTCTAATTATACATTGAGTCTTATTTCGTAGCTTAAAACCTAAATCCTTTTTGTAGTCTGTTCTCAAAAAAAGTTTAGACTTTAACCAATAAAATCAATAATATGGTTTCATTAGAAATCATTCTAACAAAAGATTACGGTATTTTCTATACCTAAATCTATTCTTTAAATCTATTTCTTTACTTTTAGACCAACCGCCTATCCAGACGGCTTCTACTGGCTAGGTTCGATGAAAAATGGGAAAGTCGGACTCTTTCGGCCAATTGATACGGTAAATTTGGCTTTTTTAAGATAATAGTATATTATAGTATAGCATTAGATATAGGATTTAAAAGCAAATTACCCCAAATATTCAAACTACAGGTGGCTCACCTTGGCGCTGAGTGCCCTGCTACTGTGAAAATCTCAACCTCAGCACCACAAAATGGAAAAGAGACAAAGGATAAGGTAAATAGGATTAGAAACTAGGTTTAAATATGTTTTTTTTGGAGAATCATCTAGCTATAGAATATCTTTTATTATATCTCATATCCGTTTAGCGTTTACTTTTGATGAGCCAGTCTTTTGATGAGGCGAACATGCGAAAAATGCTCGTAAGGGTTGTGTACTTTGTGCTCACGTAAATGCACGCTTTCTAGCACACCAATAAATTCGATTTGTTTCTATTTGGTGCTCCAGTAGCCGCGCGTTTTCCAGAAGCACAAAGTACAAGCTGCGTTTGAACCTTATGTAAATGAAAATAACAATCAAATTTTGCATTAATCTTTGTTATTTTATAAATTATCGAGAATCAAAAAGCTTGATTTAGAAAAAAGAATGGAAAGAAAGCGATCGAGAGTCGAAGAAATTGCTCATCTCGGAGCCACAAGGCGATCTAAGGCACATGTGTCATGTGGGAATTGATGGAACAGCGATTGGACTATTACAGGTACAGGATTTTAAGTCCTAATTGATTATGATACTTATTCCACTACAATATACAATATCTGGCATACGGTAACATATCGTAAACGTACATTTCTTGTTGAAATCTTTATTGAAATTGATTGATTACGGGTACTTTAACTTCGGCTACATGCTTATAATTACCCGAACTCACTTCCATGAGTCTAGCTCAGCGAAAATCAAATGAATCTCTCTGATTTTTTCAGGGATAAATTTTGACTACGCCTCCAGCAGCAGTGCTCAATATTTAGTCGATCGGAGTAAATACAAATTTTATATAGGCTCTGAAAGTTGAGAGTCGCGCTTTCGTTGGCACGCAATGGGTTTTGGTATTTAAACCACTATTCTTGCCACGAATCATTTCGACTTTGTTTTATCGTTGTTGTAAGTCACGCTTCCCTAGGCCAAACATGTTTTTGTGGTTTTTAGAAAAGTTAGTTTTAATCAAATTCAATGAAACTTTTACTTTTACTAGTTTTTTGAACAAAATACGTTAAATTTTAAAAATTGACAACTGGTTGCTTCAAAAAAAAAATGGTAATTTCATTTCCTATTTCTGATTTTCTAAGATTCTAGATTTTTTTTTTGGTTTATGGGTAGATTTCAGAATTCAACGGGTTTTTTTCCTCTCTTATAATTCTTAATATAAACTTGAACGGCTTTTCAGCTTTTCATTCACATTTTTCTTACAAGAAAAAACAAAGTCGAAATGATTCGTGGCAAGAATAGTGGTTTAAATACCAAAACCCATTGTGTGCCAACGAAAGCGCGACTCTCAACTTTCAGAGCCTATATAAAATTTGTATTTACTCTGATCGACTAAATATTGAGCACTGCTGCTGGAGGCGTAGTCAAAATTTATCCCTGAAAAAATCAGAGAGATTCATTTGATTTTCGCTGAGCTAGACTCATGGAAGTGACGCGAATGATGCGAATGAATAATTATGGCGCGTACTGTAGTTCATTATCCCAGCTTCTTGTCTTATTACATTATACAATAGACAATATACCGTATATTGCGACAGATACAGGTACAATGGATAAGTATTTAAGGACATATGAATATCTTTAGCTTTCACGATTAAAAAGATCTTCCAGTCTTGCACCCCAAATACTTTTTATTAGCCCAAAAAAAGATTTTGAATATAAAAATAAGAATGTCAGCTCTGCTAAAGAATCCAGTCTTATTGGCTGAATAGCTTTATTCAAGAGCTTTACTAAAACTGTGTGATGAACGTTACAGTATCCTTTCTAAGGCTTCACAACTTTGATCTTCAAAGGCAAATTTTCAGATCGACAAGAAAGATCTTGTCAAGGGTACGCCCGTCCAATCGAACTCGATCTCTCCCGGGACAACGATCCGATCGATCACTCCATCAACCACAAATCAAACCGGTTCTGAAGGATCTTCGTCGATTGGAAGCCCGGCAACAGTATCAAGAAATGATCGGGTCACGTTCAGGTTGGAGCTGGTTTCTGATTTCTTTCTGTTTTTCTGTTTTTCTGTTTTCTTTCAGCCAATACTGTAGCTTATTGTCTAACGATTGAGTCTTTATAAACAGTTGTTAGCATAGCCATTTTTATAGAAATACTGTAGCTTTTGATGAAATAATTTACATTCTATATCCAAAGCTTTCAGAGATCGCCATACTGTAATTTCTGCACCCGGCTCGCGCGCGCCAAGTCAACCGGGAATGATTGTGACGACAAGGGGAAGTGTTGAGCCAAGTGCACCACCGTTATCGGTAAGTGGTGCTTGAGAACAGTATTTTGTTCAAATTTTTTTTAATCTAAAATACTTTTACCTTAGAGCTCTTCTAGGTGCCCAACTCCTTGACTCGAACCGAAGTGGCGCAACTAAACGAGAAACTCCTCGACGAGTCGCTCTATGTTTTGAATGGATCCATAGAGTAAGTGATGAAAAGAATGGTATTTTCGCTTAGGTTTTTGATATATTCTATATAAATTTCATTGTTTCCAGCTCACTGACAAACTCGATGCACCGAAGTAGTCACTCGGCGAACTTCGGCAGTGACGAGTTCTTACAACCGAGAAGGTTTGTTCATGGAAAAGAGTTGAAATGACAAAAATTCAATCACAAACTTGAACTCGATTTTGACAATGAAATCTCATAGATAAATCTCATTATTCAAATGATTTCATTATTCTAAATTTCAGATCTCCAAACCGGCAACCACCCATTTGCGCCGTTTACGCGAGAACCCCAGAAAAGTGAGTTTTGAAGGCAATTTGAAGTCAATTTGAAGTCATTTACTTTAAAAGCTAGTTAAGAAATTTTCAATTTAACAAAATCAGGATAGAATTTGCACTTTGAAGCTCAATAAATGTATAGTCAGAGGGTACGTCAGTATGGGGTCGTCGTTGGGCCTGTGTCTTGTACTTGTGGGTACTGTAGTTTCGTCTGGAGTTTGTGCCGTCTGTGGCTGTGTCTTGTCTTGTGGGTACGTGTCTAGTACTTGTGAAGGTGCTGTGTCTGTACTTGTGGGTCTGTGCCTGTGGTCGGGCTGTTGTGGGTCGCCGTCTTGTGGAGGTCTGTGTCTTGTGTTGTGGTCGTGTCTGTCTGTGGGCTGTCCTGTGGTCTGGTCTGTACTTGTGGAAGGTACTGTAGTCTAGTACTTGTGAAAGGTACTGTAGTCTTGTACTTGTGGAAGGTACTGTAAGTCTCATTGTCACTAAGCTACAGTACCCCAAACGCTTTTCATTAAACCAAGGATCACGTAAAAAGATCATGTTTTAGAATGGTTAAACTTGGTAAAATCAATTTGAAAGGTTTTTACGTCCCAGTTTTACGTCTCAGTTTTGTCTCAATTTAGTTGCCAGGGAATACTGTAGAAAGGACACGTTTTAATATAAATAAACTGGGCAAAACGGGATTAAAATATGCTGAAAAGCTCTTTGTGTAGATTTAAATTTTAAATTTCTGCAAACTATAGCAAAGTCCCAAGTTATTGAAACTTGAAAATGACAAAAAATTCGTCTTACTCTGAATCATAGAGATCAGGCGCAATGGGGTGAGAATTTTCACAAAAAGCATAAGCCCTAGACTATTTGACGGAAATATTATCATTGATACGGTGACCAGTGAATACTTTTTCATGGATTTGTTGACTTTTTGATTATTTTTTTTTAGAAAATTCAACTCCTTGACACCTTTCTTAAGCCTTGAGGTCATGTATAATGTTTTTTTCACTTCCCCGTCGTAATTGCTAAGCTGAAAAGCTTGGCTTAAGTCTTGTAGTCAAGATTAACAGTACTTGGATTGTTTAATTTTGGCTTGGGACTTGATTAGCTGAAAAATTTCCTGATAAAACGGTTGATTGTTGAGGTCAACTGTCAGGCTTATGACTGGGCCAGGCTAAGGTTTTTGCTTCTTACCAGATCTGGACTTGGAGAAACACTGGCCTGATCCTGGAACCAAGGTTTTTCTAAAGGACCTGATTGATCTGGCTGATCAGCTAGAGATTTTCCAGTTTATTAGCCCTGAAACCAGGGTTGTTCTAAAGGCAGATTTCCCGAGACTTCCAGACCAAGGCAGGTTGGAACTGGCTTTGTTTTGGCTTTGTTCTGGCTTTGTTCTGGCTATCTGACCAAATCAGCTTAGTTAGACTTTTGACTAGACAAGGCAAGGCTGTACCTGTTTCTAATTTGGCCTGGCTGAGAACCTAGGTTTTTGGTTGAACATCCCTGACTGAATCCAGGCTAGGAAGACCCTGTTCTTGCCTGGTCTGAGGAAACCATAGATATTTTATTAAAATTAATGACTATTCTTTAGCCTTTTAATTGTAAACCTGACTTGTCACATGGCGAATCTCCAATTCAAAACCTGACCCTTCCCCTCCCTCTCAATAAAATTTATCAGATAAATAAACAAGAAGGGAAAATATTTGGGAATTTTATAGTTTTCTTCTTTTTCTTTTCTCTCATGAATCGCCTTTTTGCGTTTTTTTTTTTTGGCTGAATAGCTGAAAGTGATAAGCTTTGGCTCTAAAATGGGCACCTTTTTCTAAAAGATTCAAAGTTTTGAACTTGTTGTTGGCATACCATCTAATTTGGGAGATTTTATGAATGAGTGGTTTGATAAGAATGAATTGGTTTTCAGTTTTTAATCAACTTTTCCTTTTTATTGGTTGAACGTCATTGTTATTGAGCTCTTTGGGATCTGATTTGACCAATAAAATAGTCGATTGTCAACTTTCATGGTCAACTATCAATTTTCGATCAATCTCACTGACTTTTGGCTAAACCAGGCAAGGGTGGATCTGGTTCTAATTTAGCCTGACTTGGGTTGGAACAAAGGTTTCCAATTTAGCCTGGCTTGGGTTAGAACAAAGGTTTCCAGAGCAAAGGTTGAACCTCCCTGACTGAATCCAGGCTAAACCAGACCTTGTCCTCTATTTGTCTGGTCTAAGAAAACCATTTTAAATACCGTATAGATATTTTGTTAAATGTTAATGACTATTCTTTAACCTTTTAATCGTAAACCTGACAAAATAGTCTATCGTTTCAAACTTTTATACGGTTAACTACAATTTGAGTGGAAACTTGATAAAATGAATTGGTTTCCAACTTTTTTAGCCAACTTTTGCTTTTGAATTGGCTTAACGTTCAAAAACTTGTTATTGAGCTCTTTGGGATCTGCTTTGCCCAACAAAATAGTCGATTGTCAACTTTCATGGTCAACTATCAATTTTCGATGACAATCTCACTGCTAAATGCTTAAAGATTGGATACTTTGGTTAGAACTCTTAACCTATATTGATAATCTAGTTTGTCTAGAACTCTTTTTGGCTTACCTATAATCCAGTTTTGCTTTTTCAATCAAATACTTTTTGAATGCTTTGTTTTTGTTTTAGAAATAGCCAGAGCAGCGACGGTTTTTGAACATTAGTTAACTGACAATCAGCCAAAGAAACTAAAAGAGTTTAAACTTTAAAACTAAAGCAAAGGACCGTCGGTTAGGGTTGGTTCTAGATCAAATTTCTAGCGCCAAGTCTTCCTCATAATCTAGCTTTAGTCTGACCAAGCCTGGACTTTGCCTTGGAAATTTCAGAAACATTGATCCAGGCCATGGTTAGGCATCCAGTAGATCCTTTCGAATTATAAATTTGCTAATCTTTTACAGGTTTATTGTCTTTTTCTTTTCTTTAAAACCTTTTAGATAAGAGGCTAAGTAGTCTAGTTTGTCAAGTTCTACACTCGAATCTTTAGTAAGAAGGAAAACTGAACGAAATCTAATGAATTTTCGATCAATGAGGAGGAATTTCTATGTGATCCTCTTATTTATCAGCCTTAGAAATTTCAGGAACAGAAAGCCTGGACTTGTCCTTGGAAATTTCAAAAACATTGGTTCAGGCCATGGTTAAGCATCCAGTAGATTCTTTCGAATTATAGCTCTGCTAATCTTTTATAGGTTTATTGTCATTTTTATTCGACACATCCAAACGATTTCTCATTTCCCAATTCTCCAATTCTGCACTTTGTTTTGAAAAAGCAACGATCGTTTTTGGTGATTCATCTCCTTCGAAAACCCCATCAACCCTTTGATTTCACTGATTTTCTTTGCCGATTTGCATTCGAATCTTCTTTCACTTTTTGTTTTTTTTTCCGTTTTCAATTCTTTTCTCACATTTTATATTTGCATCTTTGTCCCACCGATTTCCGGTGATCTTTCTCCCACTTTTGCCAATCTTCAAAGGTCTTCCGGTTCTACGGTTCTCTTGACCTTGAACAATTGCTTTGCTCATTGAAACGAAACCTTTTGTTAGCTTCAAAATAAAACTTTCTTCTCATTTTTGATCTTCTTTTGCTCAAAAAAAAATCAGTTCGTCTCTCTCAGTCAATTTCTCTATTTGTTAGTTTTGATTTTACAAAAAGCTGGACATTTAGAGTCCTTGTAAAGAAAAACTCAAATCAGATTCGCAAAAAGACTCTAAATCTATTCTAAAATCCAGTTTTTCCTTTGCTTGCTACTTTAGAAAGTTTAGAAACTTAAAAAATTGCCCTTTTAGATGACAAAACTGTTTCCAAATTGCTTACTAAGAACAATTTCTCAAACAAAATCATTTTCACAAAAGTTGTTTTTCATTTCATCATTCTGTTTATTTTCAGGTAGCATCAATCTTTTTCTTCAACTTCCGGATGATCTTTTTATTTCTCTTTTCCACTTTTTGTGATTCTTTCGATCTTTCCATCTTTCCATCTTTCCATCTTCCTATCTTCCCATCTTCCCATCAGAACTATCCTTGACCGTTTCTTTTATTATCCATTCATTTCAATGATTTCCGTAACTTTTTCGCTTCTTTTCGCTATTATGCAAGTTCCCTAAAAATATTTAATTCTAAAACTTTCTAATTTAATTCTAAACTAAAACTTCTTTCCTGTTTTATTTTGCCAGTTTTATTTTTAGCTGGATTACGGTATTTAGTCTAGATTCGGTATTCAGTCTAGCTTAGGTTATTCAGTCTAGATTAGCTGGATTACGGTATTCAGTCTGGGTTGAGGTATTCAGTCCAGATTAGCTGGTTCACGGTCTATTAGTCTGGATTACGGTATTCAGTCTAGGTTAAGGTATTCAGCCTAGAATAGGTTTTGGGGGTTTTTTTTGTGTCTTTTTTTTTTTTCTCCCCCCCCCCCCCCCCCCCCCCCCCCCCCCCCCCCCCCCCTCCTCCCTTTTCCTCTTTTTTTTCCTTCCTTTTTTTTTTTTTTTCCTCTTTTTTTTTTTTTTTTTCTTTTTTTTTCCCCCCTCTTCCCCCTCTTCCCCCCTCTTTCCACTATTATAATTAAAAGAAAAAAAAAACCTCCCCCCCCCCCCCCCCCCCCCCCCAACCCCCCCCCCCCTCCCCCCTTCCCCCCTCCCCAAAAAAAATTTCCTCACCTTTTTTTTTATAACCCACCTTTTTAAATAATTTCCAAAATTTTTCCCCCCCTTTCCCCTCTTTTTCACCCTTTTTCAATATTATAAAAATTCCCTAAAAAATAAAAAAACTTCTTTCCTATTTTATTTTCCCAGTTTTAAAAGTTCTAAAGCTTCAGTTTAATTGTCAATTTACTACTTTAAAATTCACCATTCATCCCCGAAAAGTTTTCAGTAAATTTCTACGAATTGAATACGAAAATTACTCGTTTTTATTCGTAATTTATTTTTCTTTTCACTTTTAAAAAATATCCTTCATTCCAGTGTCTTAATGAAGTATTCCCCGGTCGCCCTATTACGACAAATTCATTTCCCTAGGCACAGGTAAAGCTAGAGTTTAGTCGAAAGTTAAACCTCAAAGACAAAGTTCAACACCATTAATTTCTTTCATCTTTACTTTCAGTGCCGCAGTGTCTCATCCATCAACATCGGATCGAATCTTAATGGATGAAGTGGCCCATTTGGATCGTGATTTGACCGATTTCTCTCTGGCTTCACTCGGTGGATCCGATTACTCTGATACAAGGCCTTTGATTCCAGGTAGAACTTTGATTATTCTTGAAACTAATAAGCTTGAGCCTTTAATTTCAGGTAGAACTTTGGTTATTCTTAAAATGGGTAAATTTTAGGCTTTGATTTCAGGTAAAATTTTGATTATTCTTTAAACTAATAAGCTTGAGCCTTTAATTTCCGGTAGAACTTTGATTATTCTTAAAATGAAACTTGGCTGTCGGTGAACTGATTACTTTAAACGATAGCTTAAGCCTTTGTTTCAGATACTTTGATTCTTTAACCGTAAGCTTAGCCTTTAATTCAGTAACTTTGTTTTCTTAAATGGTCTTGGCCTTTGTTTTAGCTTTGTCTCTTAATTGACCCTACTATTTTCAAGCTTACTTGAAACTAACAAGTCAAAGTCACAGTCAAAGTCTTTTCATTCCTTTTCAAAAACTAAAAAATGCACCAATTGAATTACGTTTTATTTCATTAGAAAGATCAATCATTTTTCTATAAAATAACATTAAAACGGATTTCAAATGTCTTATTTCTGGATTTTTTTCGACGGCCAAAAGTCAAGTAGTCAAAAAGGACGGCTCGATGGTACGTTTTAGACATTTTAGCTAAGAAAACCGATCTTTGTGTCTATAGATAAAAGATAGATCATAAAAACTTTGGTATGTAGCCAAATTTTTAGAGAATTTCATTCAGCCAGAGGTTTTTCTAGATTTTTACCAAAAAAACGTTTTCAATCTCGAATTTGGCTTAAAATTGATCCGAAATTAGACTTAAAAAGATGAAATTGAATAAAAAAAACACTTTTTATTTAATGAAAACCATAGGTTAATTGATGGATTTGTCATTTTTCAACAAAAGTTAGAATAAAAATTTGAAAGAAGTTACATTCTTTACTAATCAATGATTAGTCTTTGATTAGTCTAAGACTAGTCTAAGACTGGTCTAAGACTGGTCTAAGACTGGTCTAAGACTAGTCTAAGACTTAAATTAGTATTAGTATTATACTCAAAGCTAGAGCTAATTTTTGTGAAAAACTCGATTCCCGAACTTTTCAGTTTCCCCCACACAAACCCTCGAGATCAAAAGGAGTAGTGGAAGCGATTTGGGGCACTCGTAAGTGAATTTTTACATCTTTCAAGTCTTAAATCGTTCGAAATATCAAAAATTTGGACTCTTGCGTAATTTCCGGGTATTTTGAACGGGTCGTCACGCTTGGAAGGCCTATAACTTTGTCCAGAGATGATATTTTTGCTAACTTTTTATATCATTGTACAGAGGACATTTCAGGCTTTCGAATGATACCAAATAAAGCTTGAATGGATTTTTCATTCCCATGCAAACTAGGCGACACAACACTCGAGTTGGATAGGCTTCATTTGCTCAGAGTTGGCTCTGATTTTCCTCGACTGGATTGATCAAACAACCTCTATTTGGTATCATTTGAAAGCTTAAAATGTTCTCTGTACAATGATATAAAAAGTTAGCAAAAATATGATCTCTGGACAAAGTTATAGGCCTTCAAAGCGTGACGACCTGTTCAAAATACCTGGATTTTTTCAAAATATCCGGAAATTACGCAAGAGCCAAAATTTGAGTCAAGAATAGATTCTAGATTCAATATCCTCTTTCTTTTCTTCTTTTCTTCTTTTTTTCAATATCCTTTTCTTCTTTTCAGTTGCTCATCCTCTCCACCAACTGTCCGTTTGATGAGTGAAGAGGAAATCGCTCGATGGCACGATAAAGAAAGTAAACAACACAATAAGGTAATGAAGATTTTAATTTCGATCAAATTTCAGATCAAATTTCAATCTTAAAATCTGTTTTAAATTGCAAATTTGAAATTTTAAGCGACTAAACGGTCAGTGGAACATTTTCCGCCAAAAATCCAAAAATCCTTTCATTTTCTTTTTTTCACTGCAAATTTTCTGATAAATCCAATAAAGAATTGACGCATTTCGGCCATTTCTTTCCTTTTCTTTTTTATTTTTGAAGATTTTTCAGATTGATAAGAAATTGGAGGAAACGAATCGGAGAAGCAGCGCTGAACAAAAGGATGTGCAAGGGACGGCGAATGGGTGAGGGAATTTGAGGGGAAAATTCGGAATCTAGAATCTTTAGAATCTTTAGAATCCTTTTTGGTCAATCCACTCTCCCAAAAGGCATCCATTTTCGAAATCTAACGTAATTAAATCGACATTTTCCTTAAAATTAGCCCAATTTTGCTATCAATCGATCGAGGAATCACAAGGCTTACTAGAAATCGTTGTTTATTTACCACCGAATTTCGAAGTAACCTATTTTGTTGCAAATTTTTCACTGATTCCAAATATCTAAGTCGTTTTTAATGGAATGGATTCAAATTTTTGATTAAATTTGATTAAAGATTAAATCCATTTAAAGTATGTGTGTAAGAAAAACGGTTTTGCAGTGCTAATTAACTGACGGCGCGATTATCTAGCGAACTTGCCATCCGCCGCCATCCTCCCTCGTGGCCGAGTGGTAGTGCGCTAGACTCTCAAGCGGTAAGCCCGCTTTAAAGGCCCTGGCTCGATCCCGGCCTCGGGAAAAGCTTTTCTTTTTGTATTTCTTCAAAACCTGGTGGTAAATAAACAACGATCTCAATGATACGAAAATTGGCTGAATTTGATTATTTGATAATTTGATAATTTGATAATTTGATAATTTGATAATTTGATAATTTGATAATTTGTAATTTGTAATTTGATAAGGGTAGTTTTAAAAAAATTTATGTATAACTTTGGAAAACATCTATATTTTCAATAAAATTATCTATAAAAGTATGAAATTAGTAATAAAGATAGCTAAATTTTGAAATTATCTCTTTATCTAATTATCAATTAAGTATTAAGTATCTATGAAATTCAATTTTACAAGCTTTCAGAACCGCTAGTCGATCAAATCCACCCGATTGGTCTCCCGAAGCGCAAGAGGCTTACAAGCTGCTCGTTGAATGTGGCGATACCCTACAAAAAGAAGCTAAAGGTGGGCATTTGAATGGAAATTTTTAAATCCTAATATCCAATTTACATTTCGAATAGCATTTTGCATTTTTTTTCCATTACAGCTGCCTCAATATCCCCACGAAATCGCCCTTCAAGTGCCCCGAATAGCTCCCGAAGCTCCACTGATGAGCGTCCAATCGCTAAAATCAACGCAACTCGTGTCTCTTGTGATTCAACCACCTCTACACTGAATTCAGCTCATGTAAGAGCTATTATTCCAGTTTGAATTCGATTTTCTATTCCAATTTTGAGTATTCAGGTGAAACATGAGGGATCAACTTTCATTGCTCGACCAGCTTTACCTCCAAAGTCTTATGTGAACACGGAAGCGATCAAAGTGAGCTTTTCGGCTAAACGAGTACTAGAAATGGTAAATTCAATAGTGCTGTGCTGTGCTAGCAATAGTTTAAGTGCTCAGAAATCAAACACAGCTTTAAAAAACAAGTTGCAGTTGCTGGAAAATCAGTTCTAGCTATTGGCTGAAGCTTTAGCTATTAAACAAACGACTACTATACGAACTCTATCAACCACTATCGAACAGCATAGCCACTACTATTACGACTGATGCTGGCTAGCTATTATCAAAAAGCTTAAGTCATCAATTAAATATCAAAAAAGATCTAGTTCTTCTCGAAAAACCGAATCTTTTGTCAAAAATGGTTTTTTTTTTCGTTTTGAAAAGCTATCATAAGCAAAACTCTAGCAAATTCGATTCTCTTAAGACTTTTCTATAAATTATTGGGACTTATTCAGAAATCGATTTATTATAATCATTTCTATAGCTATCTACTATATATAAAATAGAAGAGATGGCTGTTCGTTTGTTCTTTTGTGCGCAACTATTGGAAAAAAGGGGCCGGGCTTAGATTGCGCGGAAAACGTGAACGCCCGGAACGCTAGTGAGCGTTTTTTTCGCTGGTAAAGCTATAAAACAATAATAATTTCTATAACTATCTACTATATATAAAAGAGAAGAGATGTCTGTTTGTCTGTGCGCAGCTATTGGCAAAAAGGGGCGCGGCTTGGATTGCGCGAAAAACGCGAACGGGCGGCAAGTTAGTGAGCGTTTTTTCGCCCTATTCGCTGGTAGCTATAAACGTATCATTTTTTGCGTCTGTGCGCAGCCATTGCAAAAGGGACGGGGCTATATAAAAACAGAAGGGTGTTGTTCGTCTGTGCGCAGCTATTGGCAAAAAGGGCCGCGGCTTGCGCGATTGCGCGGCAAACGCGCGTTTTTTTCGCTGTTTTTGCTGTTAGTGCGCGTTTTTTTTCGCTAATAAAGCTATAAAATAATAATCATTTCTACATAAAACATCAAAAACCTAGAAAAAGAATAAACTAGAGCAAAGTACTAGAGCAAAATACTTTTCAGAACTTTCAAAACACCGAATTTTCAGCCACCCGAGCTTCCACCAAAAAAGACCAACAAAGTCTCACCAGCAGCCGCTGCTGATTCAGGATACGATAACTTGAATGGAATCAGTGAGTATTACCAAGTAAAGATACTAGGTTTTAAAATTAGAATATGAAATTCGAAATTACAAAATTCATTTACATTTCATTTACAATCAAAAGAAGTTTTTTTTAGATCAATCTCAAGAGCTGAAGAACAACAACAACAAGTTACCACCGCCGGTTCCACCAAAACCGAAAACCCGGTAAGCTACAGCTTTACACCCACCGTAACCTACAGTAATCTACTATGTAATCAAGAAAATCTTGTTTTTAGTATTGTCGCAAAACAACTAGCCTCCTAATCTATTTTCATTTTTTGCATTGTGGTGAGTTTTTGTGCGCTAACAGCGATGTCATTCTTTTTTCTACGCTAACAGTCTACAGTAGCTTTTGGTACTAAAAAAGTAAATGCATTCTTTCTAGCGCATTGAATTCTTCATTTCCTTCTATTATTGAATGATTTTTGGTAAGAAAATGAGGGATTTCAGTGCACCAGAAGGCGTGCGTTTAAGCATAAAGATAACAACAAAAGATAACAACTTACAAAGCGATAGCTTAGAATAATTAGACGTTGAGCACAATGATAACAGCTTACAGAGATAGCTTGCAGTAACTGAAGGTTGAGCACAATGATTACAACTTACAGAGAGAGCTTACAGTAACTAGACGCTGAGCACAAAGATAACAGCTTACAAAGAGTGAGCTTGGAGTAACTAGACGTTGAACGCAATGTTAACAGCTTACAAAGAGAGCTTACAGCAACTAAACGTTGAGGACAAAGATAACAGCTTACAGAGATAGTTTACAGTAACTAAAGGTTGAGCACAATGATAGCAGCTTACAGAGATGGCTTGGAGTAACCAAACGTTGAGCACAAAGATAACAGCTTACAGAGATAGCTCACAGTAACTAGACGCTAAGCATAATAATAGCAGCTTACAAAGAGACATCTTACAGTAACTAAATGCTAAGCACAAAGATAACAGCTTACAGAGATAGCTTACAGTAGCTAAACGTTGAGCACAATAATAGCAGCTTACAAAGAGATAGCTTACGGTAACTAAACCTTGAGCACAATGATAACAGCTTATAGTAACCCAGCATGGCTTTAAGTAGTAGAAAATTAGTATAGAAAACCTTTTTTGTGTGGATTTGCTAATCTTTTTGCTTTGGTTAACAAGTTTTTTCAATAAAATTGTAAAAAATTAGCATAATGAGTTTCAGAACGAATCCCCCGTCAACAAGCTCATCGATTGATCACACAAAAAAGGGTTTTGCACCGATAATTGCCCGTTCTTCGCTTTTCAATGGGACAAAAATTGAAGAAATCATCAAATACTAGAAAATTTTCTTTTTCTTTAATCTTTTTCTTGATTTTTGATTGATTTTCAATCACTTTTTTTAACTTTTTCTATTGTAAATTCTTTCTTTTTCATCAATCTAGAAATATCCCAATCTTCAATGAACTTTTTCTTTTCAAAAAAATCTATCTAAGTCTATCTAAAGAAATGAAAGATTTCAAATCTAGACAAATTCTCAAATCAACAAGTTTAAAGCAAAAATTTGGAAGTGGGACAAATGCGACCTTTGTTTTTCCGCACCTTGCCCATTAGCGCACCTTTTTTCGCGTTTTCTAAAAGCTCAAAGCTCTAAAAAGCTCATATTAACCAATTTCTATTCCAAATGTTGTTTTTCTAGGTTTTTCTAGGTAATTTTAGGGCGTAGAATCGAAATTTTGACATATCAGAGCTTGTGGAAGCGAACGGACGGAGTTATACAACCAATTTGAAAGACAAAAGGATCAAATTTGAAAGGCTAGATCAAATTACAGAAAATTGTCGATTTTTCTCTTTGTATAACTCCGTCCATTTGTTTCCACAAGCTCTGATATGTCAAAATTTCGATTCTACGCCCTAAAATTACCTAGAAAAACAGTTTTGAAATAGAAATTGGTTAATATTAGCTTTTTAGAGCTTTGAGCTTTTAGAAAACGCGAAAAAAGGTGCGCTAATGGGCAGGGTGCGGAAAAAAAGGTGCGCAAATGTCCGGGTGCGCAAAGAAAAAGGTCGCATTTCAACAAATCAGCCCTCGCTGACACGTCAAAATTTGGGCTAAAAGGCAAAAACTGAGGAAAAGCGTTAAGTTGCGTAGTTTTTGCCTTTTAGCCCAAATCTGACGTGACTGCGAAGTCTGATTTGTCGATTTTCGGAATCTACGCATACGATTCCCTTATATGAAATCATATTTGAAGCTCTACGGCCTTTTCTAGCGAAAAAAAGGTGCCCAAATGTGCGGGTGCGCAAAGAAAAAGGTCGCATTTGTCCCACTCCCTCTCTTTTTAAACAAATTAAAGCTAGCATTGCTTAAATTCTCTTCTTTTTTTTACTCTAAAACTCAAAATTTAATGATGAAAAATACGTAAAGTGACGGGTGCTCAATGAAGAAAAAAAAAACTGTATTTAAATGATTTCTCTTTTCATTTTTTCTTTTTTCATTTTTTCATTTTTTTCAAATCTTACCGGTGTTTATTTACATTTTCTTGTGTTTTCTTATGGAAATCCTTGTTTTTAAATGCAAATTCTCTACGAAATTTCCCCCCGAAATGTGCCCTTTTTCTTTGTTCTATGGGTTTTCATGCAAATAAAGATTTGAAATTAAGAAAAGTTACAAAAATGAATAAAGATTGAGATGACATTGATATTTAAAGACTTTACAATAAACCAGTAATTACTTTCGAGTAACCCAGTAATTACTTTAGAGTAATCCAGTAATTACTTTAAAGTAACCCAGTAATTACTTTAAAGTAACCTAGCAATTACTTTACAATAATCCAGTAATTACTTTAAAGTAACCCAGTCATTACTTTACAATAATCCAGTCATTACTTTACAATAATCCAGTAATTACTTTAAAGTAATCCAGTAATGACTTTACAATAATCCAGTAATTACTTTAGAGTAACCTAGCAATTACTTTACAATAATCCAGTAATTACTTTACATTAATCTTAGCCACAACTAGAGCCTGATAAACTTCCTATAATACTTTGAGCTTAAAACTATCCAAACAGATCCTCTCTGGTCCACGAAAAGCCTCATTTTCTTACGGAAACATTTGTTATCGATAGAGAAATGAAGTCAGTGCACTAGAAAGCGCTAGGTTCCACTTTTTTTGTGTGCACAAAGTACTCTGCGGGTCGAAGTCCCGTAAACGAGTCTCGTAAACGCACCCCATCTGGCGCACCATTAAGCTTTTGAATCTAACCTAATTTTTAGATCTTTTTCTAGTGTACTTTGTGCTCTGTTCAATTTTCAACCAGTGAACTCAACAGACTCAAAGAACGAGATTGAATCGGTAGTCGGCTAAGTCGTGCGACGGTAGTCGTGCGACGGAAAAGAACCGGAACCACTTGTCAGCGTCACAAGAATTTTTGTAAAAGGGTTGCTATTGATTAGCAATGATTAGAAAGCAAAGCTAGCTTCTGGGAAAATATTTTGTGTACTCTTTCTCATTTTCTTTATTAAAATGATCAGGAATTATTCTCTTGTGTTTGCTTTGTTTATTTAGGTGGGTTTTAAGATCATCTGTCTCTTTTTATTGTGCTTTTCTAGCGTCATCATTTTTCTTGCGATTTTTTGTTTTTAAACAATACTAAATACTCAAACTAGCAGCAGATCTTGAAAAAATTCGTGTCTTAAAGCCATAAACTATCAAGAAAGCTTGAGCTTTGTAAGAAATGAGAGAAAGAATTGATGAAAACATTAGCAGAAACCTGATACAAACCATTTACTCAAAAAAAGTCACAAAAGAAAGGCGAAGAAGGTCAACGCTTAAAATCTGTGCTTGTTTCACCCACAACCACAACTATTAATTCAAGAAATTATGAGTTTTGCTAAAATTATAGACTGGGAAGGATTTCTAAGTTTTCTATATTATTAAGCCATAGTAAAAAGACAAGAACATACCGTAAATACTGTAATAGTACCGCACTCCGATAATGACGGTGCGGAGTGTTGCGTAGTCTAGCTTTGAACGAGTTTTTCTCGACACTGGTTTATGCTACAATGCTACAAGATATATCAAAAAATAGCTGGAATTTAGGGCTATTTTTTGATACCTTTGCGCTCATTGTAGCATAAAGCAGCGCGGAGAGCGGGATGTTTAAAGTTAGACTACGCAACCATCCCGAAAAAACGCGTTTTTCTCGACACTGGTTTATGCTACAATGCTCGTTTAGATATCAAAAAATAGCCCTGAATTTCAGCTATTTTTTGATACCAAAGACGCATTTTTTGAAAGTACGGGCGCTTTGAAAAAAATGAAATACTAGAAAACTTTTGCGACTACGAGACTGTACGAGGCGGGAGGGGGGTACTATTACAGTATTTACGGTAGCTTTCACCGCATAAAGAGAGTATATAATCGTCGAAAAAAGTCTTGGCCGCTCAGGATTCGCTTGGTCCATCACATCCAAATATATCAATCTGCTGAAAAGGTGAAGCCGTATTTCTAAGTTTTCTATATTATCAAGCCATAGAAAAAGAAAAGAGCATAGCTTTCACCGCATAAAGAGAGTATAAAGGGATTTCTTAGAGCCCTGGGCAGCGAATCATTTCGGACAAACTGGATTTACCCTTCAGCAGGTCTGGGCGCCGGCCCATGAAGCTCGCTCGACTCTCGCTCTCTGCAATCAGCTGTTTCAGCGGGGTAAAGACATTTGGCCGTCGAATAGCCCTGATTTGAACCCCCTGGACTTCTCCGTTTGGTCGATCTTGGAAGACAAGATCTCTCGCAAGAGATTTCACTCCGTGGATTCTTTGAAGCCGCTTTGAAGAAGGCCTGGGCTGAAATCACTGTTCAGCAATGCGCGACCATCGTCGGCAACTTCGATTGAAGCGATTGAAGAAGTGCATCGAGGCGAAGGGTGAAAATTTTGAACATTTGTTATGATTTTTTGTTATTTTTTTCTTCAATAAACAATTTGTTATCGTTTTTTTTATTTGATTAATATTGCCAAAGTTTGCAACTTTTATTTCTCTTGGAAAAAGTGTCAGAATTTTTGCCGTACCCTGTATAGTCGTCGAAAAAAGTCTTGGCTGAAAAGTATTCACTTGGTCCATCACATCCAAATATATCAATCTGCTGAAAAGCTAAAGTCGTATTTTTGGCGGACTCTGTAGATGTCGGTGATGCTTCGGAGGGTATCAAGTTTGGTCTCGGATATTGAGAAAGATTTAGAGATAGTTTCTAGTATTGTTACAGAGGTGGGGGCGCAAAAGGGACGGCTGTTTTCAGCTGATTTTTTCCATATTTTTCATACTGGGCTACTTTCGAATCACATAATGCTGAAATGATTAGAATGAATACTCATAATACCCATGACTGTGTATTTTCCTAAAAACTGACAAGGAAGAAACGCAATCTAATCTAAAATGGAATTTCTGATTGTGTTCTGGGTCATTTGATGGTTTTTCGTGTTATTCAAAGTCGATTATTGTTAGATTTTCTGAAATTCCCTAGAAATCAGGGATTTCATTTCAAATTTAGCATGTAGCTTTATGCCATCTATTATATATAAAAGAGAAGTGTCCGTCTGTCTGTCTGTCCGTCACACTTTGAATCTCGGCTTCACATGAACCGATTTCGACAAACTTTTTTTGATTTTAATCGATAGGGAATTAAATATGCATAGGTCAAAACAAGTTTTTCATCAAAAACCCGTAAAAAATCAGAAAAACCACTTAGCCACGATCCTTTTTGCCTTCGGTCGTCCTTAGGAGGGGCTTGGTCGAAGTGGTTGGCGTCCCGTTTACAAAACGACTCTAAAAGGATGTAGGGTTCGATTCCCGCTCATTCCAAACTTTTTTTTGCTTTAAATCTTTTCAAGCATGGAGTTGAAGTAAGCAAATTTGAGTTGCTTCGTATTGTTATTAAAGGTATTGTTACAGGGTTCTTGGAGCGGCGCGAGGCGCGACATTAGTCACGTCGAGTATAGATCTCGGTGATGCCAGTGTAGATGTCGGTGATGCCAGTGTAGATCTCGGTGATGCCAGTGTAGATGTCGGTGATGCCAGTATAGATGTCAGTGATGCCAGTATAGATGTCAGTGATGCCAGTGTAGATGTCAGTGATGCCAGTATAGCTGTCAGTGATGCCAGTGTAGATGTCGGTGATGCCAGTATAGATGTCAGTGATGCCAGTATAGATGTCAGTGATGCCAGTATAGATGTCAGTGATGCCAGTGTAGATGTCAGTGATGCCAGTATAGATGTCAGTGATGCCAGTGTAGATGTCAGTGATGCCAGTATAGATGTCAGTGATGCCAGTGTAGATGTCAGT